AGTGACAGGAGCATCTGTTATTTAGGATTGAAAAACGTTATATTATAAGGAAAACAACATTGATTTCACATAAATATTTTATCTTGAAGAAAAAAATGCAAGCAGTCCTTAAACCTGAGTAACTCTCCAGAAGTATTCTGTTTTTCTTGCAACTTGAAAGAACAAATAGGCTGTTTGTGTAGCAGGCTCCCCATTGTAACCAGCTCAGACAAGAGTGTATTTGTAAGGGACTGAAGTCTTGTTCTGGGTTTCGAAAAAAATTCTCCTAGGCAGGAATTTTCATAGCAGCCCAAAATTCCAGTGACAACCCCAGGATTTGAGATGGGGCTCCCCATTCGTTTACTTTAAAGGACAGCTCCAGGCCCAGGTAGCTCCCTGGCCCGAAACTTGTAGCATCTCTACTCCCTACCCCCATTTTTTGTTGTTTTATCAAAAGGGGATCACTCAGACCAAAGCTGGCTGAAAACCAGCTTATTTGCATTGAATTTACCTTCACACTGCCACTAGGTATCGCTGTGCTACAGCTGGTATAGCAGTATCGCAATAACCTTCAAACCCGACAATTTTTAATCTGTCAGCATCTCCTGTTTCGGGTCGGAATAAGGCAATGGGATGATGCAGACTCACCAAGACCAGGCACTCACACCCAGCTGCAAGCGCCATCCTCCCCTCAGTCCCAGGGATAAAGGGTATTTACCCAGCAGTCAGGCTGCATCTTTGCTGAGGTTCTCCTGTCTATCTTCTTCCCCACGGTTTTAGAGCTCCTGAGATCCGTGACGAACAGGATTGCTACAGCAGCAATTTTGGGATTAACACCGACAGGAATTACCAGAGAGCTCTCAGCTGTTTTTTTCAAGCCTGCAGACTCAGAGGCAGGTTTCTGCAGAGAAACCACACTAGGTGTCAGGGTCTTGCTTATGAACTAGGAGGGCTAGAAACTTAGATTCTGTTGCAGTCGCATCATTGGGGAGCCACAAAGACTTTTAAGTCTTTGTGCTTAATCTTCCGTTGCAGAACTCTCCCATTAATAGCATGATTCCTTTTAAATATAATTAAACAGCATTAAAGCAAGTTATAAAAATAGTTGGAAAGTTTCAGTTTCAGAGGGCTGGAGCACCTCTCCTACGAGGACAGGCTAAGAGAGTTGGAGCTGTTCAGCCTGGAGAAGAGAAGGCTCTGGGGTGACCT